ACTTCCTATCACATCGGGATTTATGAGATCATATCATATCATATCTTGTCAGACTGCACCTGATCATATTAGAACGTATGGTATCGTATCAGAGTGCAAAGTACCAGACGCTGTCATTTAACATTGTATCATGAATTAGCGTTGCCTAAAAATATACAACATACATTTAAAATGTCATGTGACTTTGACCACAGACTAAGACAGAAACCGACTAATTATGGGATTAAAACTTCAAATTCCAAGCCAGCTGTTAATAAACTGTTTTTCTGATCAATTCTCCAACGTATCACATATGATATCGACTTCTGTCATCAGTCCAAAGTGCAGCAGTCGTGACAGACTTATTTATACAGGACAGATATCCACACAGCGTGGATCAGTGTGTGTGCATCGGGCATTACTAATATCTCCCCAGGAACTGAACAATCAGATTGACTCCAAGTCTTGGTCCCGATTATTTTTAGTCCGCACGGTGACTTCATCATGAGTCATACACTAACTGTCCCAGACGATCAGTCAGGGCCAAGTCAGCCCCGCTCCTGGATCAGGTACGCTATTAATTACAGATGAATCACCTATCAGAAAATCATTAGCACTGAATTAACAACAAGTGTCTGGATGAAATGGTAACAAGGCTGGATTTCACACCCTAATGATTTGGCTCCTGGAAATAAACGACGTAAGGCTCAGCTCATCCAAGTTCATTAGCTGGGATTTCAGTAACTGTGGCGTCCTGTGTGGTGTTTCCCCGGATTCGCGAGCAGGAAACGGCACAAAGGTCACCACCATATTCTGCTGACGCGTCATCTTGAGATTCACACGAAGCTAAGCAGAGCCACGCATTAATATAAATGAGCTAACCAGGCTGAGATATGAAGTGAAACTGGCCGCCACCTTCCGGCAACATTTAAGTAGTACCGTGTCCAGGTGTACGTTCAAAGACTGTGTAATTGGTTGTAAGAGAATGTAGTAATGTAAAGATAAATGAATTATCCAAATAATAACAACATGAAGAAAACATACTTTCCCTATCAAAGGACCAATAATATGTTTCCTTTAAGTCAACAAAATCTAGTTCAAATGTAGTTGATCAATAATGAAACTAAAATTTAAAACAGTTCTAATGTGCATAATATTTAGTCCAAAGACTACGACGAAGTCAAACTTGGCGTCAAAATTAACAGTGGTACTGAGACAATTGGTCTAAAAGTATTTATTACATAAATATATATATATGAATATACAGACATAAATAATGTTTAGATATATATGTGTATATATATTTATATACATATGTGTGTACGTATGTGTATGCAAATACATATACACATATGTATGTTTTCACATGTATACGTATGTATTTATATCATATCATATTTTCATATAAATATATATATATATTCATATACACACACATATAAAGTATAGAAATATATAGAGAGATATAGTTATATATCAATATATTCGTGTATATATTTATATATTTATGTACTGTACTGTACTGTATTTATATATATGTACTGTAAGAATAAACACACATATGTATGTTTTCACATATAAGTATTTATACATACATATATTTATATAAATATATTTATATACACATATAATGTATATATATAAAGTTATATATCAATATATTCATGTTGTTTTTTTTTTTGTTGTTTTCACATATATGTATTTATATATACATATATTAATATAAATAAATGTATATACACAGATACATAATGTATAGATTTCTATAGATATATAGTTATATACCAATATATTTATGTGTATATATGTATGATACACACATATGTATATGTTTTCACATATATATGTATTATATATACATAAACATATATATATTCATATACTGTATATACTGTAAATATATATATTTAACCAATCCATCAGTGCATTGACAGAATCCTGATCCTCAAACTACAGATGGACTAAACAGTACGATCTGCTCCCAGTGATCCTGACGAAGACGTGCGGAGAACAACACCAGTCTCACTGTTCTGTGACTGTGACTGTGATAACTGGCACCAATAAAACAGCACACACCATGGGGAACCATCAAAGGTCACGCTTAAGTTTTCTCTCTCTATCTCTTTTTTTTTTTTTTTTTTTTTCTCGTTGAAGTTATAAAGATCTGGCAGTGTTCCTGGGAGAACAAAGCCCACGCACTGCAACACATCCTGTCTGACTGGACTCATCATTAAATGCTGCAATCATCAGCTCAGTTTGGACGCCGCATCACCGCGGCCGCGACTCCAAATGCCTGCAGTGTTTTTTTTATTCAGCTGTAGACGCCATTCATCACCATAATGCAGAGACTCCCTGACAAGACGTGGGAACAGAATGGACTTTTAACAAAGAGGTTAGGGCCAGGTTTCACACCGGAGCCTTTTAATGTGGAATTATGTGGCTGGGGGATTTTGTGCCACACACTCTTAATGAGAGCATCTGTGTGTGTGTGTGTGTGTGTCTGGCCAGCTGTCCTCACAGCCCCTTAACACAGCCAGGGCCAGGACAACATTAAGTGGTGAACAGAGGCTGCAGGTTCACAAGTTTAACAGCATGTGATCTCTGTGTGGAATTAAACCGACAGCTAATAAAACCCACACTCATCTACAGACCCAGACCTGACCCAACTTTACCTGTCGGTAAGAGGGGAGGAAGTGCAGTTTTGTGAATAAAATATATTCATTTTCCCTCTTTCTGAGTTTTAAGCTATGTTTCAAACAAATGTGAAACTATTCACTGCTAAAATTGTGCAACCTTTTATCTGTTCTAATACATAGATCCCTACTGTGGATCAGTGAAATTTAATCTGATCTAATCTACTTTAATCCACTGTAATCTAATCTAGTCTAATTTATTGTACTCTAATCTAATCTACTGTAATCTAGTCTATCTTTATCTAGTCTAGTCTAGTCTAAGATAATTTAGCTTAATCTACTTTAATCTAATCTACTTCAATCTAATCTAATCTAATCTAGTCTAACCTTATCTAATTTAGTCTATTCTACTGTAATCTAATCTAATGCAATCTAGTCTAGAGTTATCTAATCTAATCCAATCTACTGTAATCTAATCTAGTCGAATCGTATCTAATTTAGTCTAATCTACTCTAATCTAATCCAGTTTAATCCATTGTAATCCTAACTAATTTAATCTAGTCGAACCGTATCTAATTTACTCTAACCTACTCTAATCTAATGTACTGTAATCTTATTTAATCTAATCTACTGTAATCTAATGTAATATATTCTATCTATTGTAATTGAATCTAATCCACTCCAATCAAGTCTAATCTTATCAAATTTAGTCTAAACTACTGTAATCTAATATAATTTAATCTAGTCTAATCTTATCCAAATAAATCTAATCGAATCTACGGTAACCTAACATAATCTAGTTGAATTTCATCTAATCTAGTTTAATCTAATCTATTCTACTGTAATCTATTCCAAACTACTGCAATCTAATCTAATTTAATGTAGTCTAATCTACTGTAATCTAGTCTCGCCTTATCTAACCTAGTCTAATCTAATTTAATTTAGTCTAATCTAGTCTAATCTATTATACTGTAGTTAAATCTAATCTACTGTAACCTAGTCTAATCTAATCTAATTTAGTCTAATCTAGTCTAATCTAATCTATTATACTGTAGTTAAATCTAATCTGTAATCTAGTCTTGCCTTATCAAACCTAGTCTGATCTAATCTAATTCAGTCTAATCTAGTCTAATCTAATCTATTATACTGTAGTTAAATCTAATCTACTGTAATCTAGTCTAATCTAATTTAATTTAAAATGACTTGTATTGTCATTTACATTTACACAAGATATACTGAGTACTTTTTCAGGAGAAAAACCTTCAGGTTTCAGTGTAAACCTACAGTTCTCTCCACGTGCTGAGGCTGGAGACGGAGGTTAGATCAGGAGAAGGCTTTAATGACGCTCGGGTTCGAGGCTGAGCGTCAACACTCGGCGGTGGAGTTAATGTGCGAGCGGACGTTGAAAATCTTTCTCACAGGCTGCTGCTTCTCACCCGCGAGGTTTTTCTCCAGTTCATTATATTCAACAAATGTAAAGCCCGTGTCTTCACAAATGGCAAGCTGTCTCCTACCTTTCGCTAATTATCACCGTAATTAAGAGCCGTCTTGCCCGGACCGTTAATTAGAGTGGGTTTCTCAAATGGATTACCGTGATACAGTTATGAATCATCTGGGTTTTAATATCTCTGGAATGATATGTTTTGTCTTGTTTAAAAAAAAAAAAAAACGTGTTCAGCGGTGTCGCCCACGCAGGTTTGACGGACAAAAATGAAAGCTTCGCCAACAGTTAAAAGTTGGTAGGCGGAGATGGAATATGTGATTCTGGGTGAACAAATACCCACACATTCGTACGATACTGCATGGACAAGATACAGCATTTCATCTTACCTCAAGGTACGACTCTCCACACAGGAACATTTCCAGTGGAGTTTTTCATCCAGCTGACGTCACAGGGAAGTTTTCACAAAATTCACATATGCTGCTCTGAAAGAAAAGGAAAAAAAAAACTTGTTGCCAAAGCGAAGTCAGGTGTTCTCTCCCAATTTGAGCACAGCAGCTGAATGACGAGATAACTTCATGAATTGTTAGGGGGAAAAAAGAAAAAAAAAAGGCCAGCTGGTGTTGGAGTTAACACTTAAACCATTGACAAACGCTTCATCAAAACTCATTGTAATCCCGTTTCCTGTGACTTTGTATGAAACAGTAGCAGAAATTAAGTTTGTGTTTAAAAACAAAAACAAAAACAACTTCATGTTGGTTGGATTTATAAATATCTCCAACTCCAGTGTCTTATCTTGAAAGACCTCAGCTTCAGAAATGTCAAGTGTGCATCTGGAGACTCTCTGAGATATTTTTGGCTGAACAGTGCCCCCTTATGATCATAGTTGTGAAGAGTGGTGGAACGGTGGTGCAGCTCAAGAACAGGTTCTTAATAAATCATTCAGGTCATGTTTCACATTTTTATTTCTTATTTACAGTATTTAAAATAACCATAATCCCAAACAAAAAACAAAAACAAGAGAAAACCCTCAATACTTGTTGCGTGTACTCAGGTGTAGTAACAGTTAAGGCACAAACCAACCGCGGAAACGTCTGACGTCGTACAGACGGACCACAGAGGTTCTCCTGATAGAGATGACTCTGCTCAATAACATTTTTAACTAAACACGATCAGGAATAAACAAAAAACAAAGACTACTAATAATACAGTACAAATCTGCTACTGTGTTAAGGTTACATCCGGAATACTCCGAACTGTGTCTTCTTTGTTGGTGCGTTCAAGGCTGCGCTGAGACTCAATCCCAAAACCAGGCGAGTATCAGCTGGATCGATGATTCCATCATCCCACAGTCTGTCGGAAACAAACAAAAAAAAGTTTAAGTTTAAAAGAGTTTTTTTTTGTCCTAGCCTATTGTTAAAATTATTTAAATACAAGAAGAATTATAATAAGACACAAAAGCTAAAGGATACATTTTTATTTTATTTTTTTAATTTTGATGATTACTGATTCGATGGGTGTTTATTTGTGAAGTGCCCAATGGGCTGCGGTTGGTTTAACAAATTCTCTTACTTCCTGCTGTGAACCCATCAGTCACTCAGCCACACCGGCATCCAGTTATATTTGGCACCACACTCACATTGTTCTCTGCCACTCCTTAACTCAACAATGTTTCTCTCGTGAGACTATATTTATGCTTCTTTTCGACACATCGTGACCTAGGCGAGATATTTTGTTTTCCAAGACGTTACAGCATTACACTGTCCAGCAGATGGCACCCTAAACAACCTTTAATGCAATCTTTTCACATAACAACTAAACAATTAAACGTTTTATTTAACCAATTTTTAAAATTTTCAGACTTTCAACATTATCGGCAAAACATCAGATTTGTCACATTCTCAAATTGGTGAGTATGGACAGAAGTCAAGTCAAAATAAAAACTGAATCTGATTTCCTGATGTTTTATCATTTTCTCCATCCTCCTCCTTTCAAACCTCAGGCCTCATATAACAGAACATCATCTATTCCAGAATAAATGTTGCTCAAAAGACATTAAGGCATTGTCAACGCTTGGAGAATTTTTTTTTTTTTTGAGAAGAACAAAGAGCGGTGAGAAAACATCAACCTTAAGAGAAAAAGCAGGCGTTTTGGGTTTTTTTTCCATCTTCTTCTTCGCTTTCTATCTTTGGTTTTAATTGTTGTTTGTTCGAAGACAAAACGTTTTCTCAAGGCACCAATGTTCGGAACTGTTATGACGCATTAACCTTCATAAAACCTATAGTTACGGCCCATAAGAGCCTCATTTCATCGCACAGCGAGACGTGAAGCGTGACATAATGACTGGCCTGGCACTGGAGTAGTATGGACTGCCTTCCTCTTCAAACCGCCGTATGATTGGTTCCTTCATGGCAGCCTCCTGCTCGGCGCTGAACTGTGAGATAATCAGTGAAAGGAAGTTAGAAAAACGATCAAAGAAAAAAAAAAACAACAACAAACTTTATCAGCCGTATAATATTAAGTACAGTCATGGACACTGAGAAAATAATACAGTAATTATGGAAAATGATGAGTCATCACTTCTCATCACTTATAGACGATGCAAATGGAATTAATGAGGTGGTCAAAATATTCAAAACATCACTGGAACAAGAATTACAAACTCGTTAACTTTTTTATTTTGCAGCTCTTGGCAAGTTTTTCTTTCTTCATATAAATATGAGCTTCTTGGTGGAACCCGAACCGAACCCATCTGTCACTCGGACAACACAGCATGGCGGTATTTAGCTATCTGTGAATTATATTTGGCACCACAATCACATTGTTCTCTGCCACTCCTAAACTAAATAATGTTCCGCTCCTGAGTTGTTGTTTTTTTCATATACATATATGAGCTTCTTGGTGCAACCCGAACTGAACCCATCTGTCACTCAGACGACACAATACAGCAGTATCTAGCTATCTGTGAATTATATTTGGCACCACAATCACATTGTTCTCTGCCACTCCTAAACTAAATAATGTTCCGCTCCTGAGTTTTTTTTTTCTTCATGTACATATATGAGCTTCTTGGTACAACCTGAACTGAACCCATCTGTCACTCAGACGACACAATACAGCAGTATCTAGCTATCTGTGAATTATATTTGGCACCACAATCACATTGTTCTCTGCCACTCCTAAACCAAATAATGTTCCACTCCTGATACGACAGTCTTTCTAGCACTATTACAGCAACGTGATAGTTGCGATACTCTTGAACATTACTTTCCTACAGACTAATCAATTATCTATAGCTGAGGCAAACTTTTCGTTATGAACAATCTGGTCAACTATCAAATATTAGCAAACCAAAGAGTGATAAAGCAGAAAATAAATTAGGTATTTTTTTTACCCGACAACAGGTGACTACTACGTTCTTCTAAGCAAACTGTGCTCTGTTGTGAGTTCAAAGGTCCTTTAAACATGTTATTTTAGAAGGGTAGAAATATTTCTAAAATTGTATACAAAAATGTCAGCTATGACACCACTCCTGCTTGTGTTTTATTTTATTAATTATATGTAGTTATAAAAAAACAAACCACAAATGGTTAAAAGACAATTTCTGTTGCAGTGTAAAAACTGTGAGTTAATTTGCAGTATTCTTAATATTTAATTAACATTTGGTACAGGATTTTTTTTTTTTCAGTATGCCAAAAGAAAAAGAACTTCATGTTACCTTTACGGCACATACTCTGTGAGTCTCTTCAGTTATCTCCAGAGTGATGTTGATAATTTTCTCAGGAGTCGGTGTAATGCCATAATTAGTGAGCCATAATAAGCTCCTCGGTGCTCTGAGGAGAAGAACCTACATTCTTCCCGACGTCTGCTGCTGCATCTTTATGACAGCGACCTAATATTAATAACATCCGGAATCGCGAGGGAGCGGGAAAGTGTCTGCTGTCTCTTTAAAGACGCACTGATGTTTTTTTGATGACTCGCAGCACAAGGACGCGACTGACAGCGTTTGTCACGCACATTTCACAAAGTTTTTCCACACTTTATTATGAAAGTTCCAAAACGCTTTGTAGTAGGGGTTTAATATTTATCCAAGTTTAAATTGTTAAAACACTTTTTAAAGAGCCGATTTAAAGAGCCTTTCATCAGGAAGGATGACGTGAGCCGTTCCGCTCACGCTCTTTGTTAATTTTTCATCACCAATAACGGCAGACCCCACGCAGTGTCATTGTGTCTGTTTCGATGGCTGCGCGTTTAGAATTTTAGCGCATTTAGCGCCGACCCATTAGCTGAGGAAACATTTGTGCTCTGGGCACCGAGTCTGCCAGGTCTGATTAAAATCCTGGATGTGAGGATTTATATAAACCAATTACCTCCTTTCCCTCGCGTGCCCTCTGATCCTTGGTGATGGTGGCTAAAACCGTGGCTGCCTGCTCACCGCCCATGACAGAGATTCGAGAATTTGGCCACATGTACAGGAACCGGGGGCTGTTGGGGAAAAAAAAGACATAAAATAGTATTTCACATGTATATATTTTTTTTTTAATCAAATCATCTTACTGACCTCGAACACGAATTTTATAAAGCCAAACCACAGAGTGCATCACACATGATGTCACACAACTGAAGCACAGTGGGAGTCAACAATGACGTTTAACTCTGTTATCACGATCAGAAGATGCTCAACAACAATTGTTACAGTATGGTTGTCTAATCCAAATCCGTACGTCGCGTCGTGCCTCCAAACACCCAGAGACTCTACGTTGTGTTTTTGTATTGTCGATGTATGGTGCGATGCAGGACGACTCAGACGCACGGCTGTCGATTTTTTCATGGTCAACAACTCTTTTTATTTCTCCTTTTTTTTATCGATACAGGAAAAAAACACACACTCTCTGCAAAACAACATCCGCACTTCTCCACAGAACAGCGTCAAAACAACAATAACGGTGACCATCCAGAACAAAAATAGTGACAACCACCTGACTCTGAAGGGGCGAACAACAACAACAGCGTCCTCCAGTGTCCAACTTAGGTCACTACCCTTTTCCACAAATCTCCGTCACTATTGATCTGCGGTGATCGCTGACTGTTATGTTTTGCTTAATGCGCCTTATAACCCGGTGCTCATTGTCCAAAAAATAGAGTATATATACATATATATACATACACATATTTATGATATATATGTATATATTAAACACATGTGTGTATATGTATGTATATATATTCACGCATGTACGAATGCATATACTTTATAATATAAATACTTATAAATGTGTTTTTATATACATATTTACATACATATATTTATATATATGGACAATATATTTTTTCGACAAAAGATAAAGCATGAGTTGAACGATTATTTTGTCCTCGAGAATTCATCATAGTTTCTACCACCTGCAAGTATCAGCATTAACTTTGTATTCATTTTTTTTAACTATAATGTGAACTTACAATGGATAAATTGCCAAACATCATGAATATTCAATGGTACGAGTGAAAGTCAGTGGATTCGCAAACTAATTAAATCAAAGAATGAGTTTGTCAACTAAAGGCTCAGAAACACAAAAGTAAACATCTTCATGCATGATTCATCAGCCAGGACATTTGGACCTTGGTGAGCACGACTCTAAACTAAGCAGAACAAAAAACACACAAAAAAGGTTTATTTTTTCCGTACTTAAAATTTAAAAATCATATTTTTCCTTTTCTAAAAAGGCCACTTACATATAAAACGAGGCCAACTAACGCCAAAAATTACACAGACGTGGCAGAGAGAGCCCGTGAAGCATTCATTATTTACAGCTAATCCAGGGACAGCCAATGATGATGACTCCACTTCATGTAACCACTGCAGAGGAAACTCACACACACACACACTCTCTCTCTCTCTCTCTCCTACCTGTAGGCTCGGCCACACATGCCGTAGTTTCCTGCACCATAGGATCCTCCGATAATGACCGTGATCTTTGGAACGTTGGCACAGGCCACGGCGGTCACCATCTTGGCTCCGTCCTTGGCGATGCCTCCTGCTTCGTACTCTCTGCCCACCATGAATCCTGGGACAGGCAGCGTGAGAGTTAAAAAAAAAAAAAAAAATGTGTAAGTGAGTGACAAATAACACGAAACCAACAGAGAAAATGACAGAGAGCAACGACTGAAGGAGTAAAGTGTGTTGTTCATCTTCATTTTCAATGTATGAAGATGTTCTTTTTTACTGTTAAGAATTCTGAAACCAGAGCTGTTGAAATTGTTTAACCTAAATAATCACAGTGTAACTGTGCACCGTTACCAATTATTCACGATTAATCATGATTATTCATGGTAGCAATTAATCTCGATTATTCGTGGCAGCAATAAATCACGATTGATCGTGATCATTCAAACTGCCAATTAATCACAATTAATCATGTCTATTCTTGGTAGCAATTAATCGCGATAAATCATTATTATTCGTGGTAGCAATAAATCACAATTGAATGCGATTGTTCATGGTAGCAATTCCTTACGATTAATCATGATTATTCATAGTTGCTAATAATCACGATTAACCATTGACTATTAACAGTACCAATTAATGACGATTAATCATGATTATTCGCGGTAGCAATAAATAGCGACTGACTGTGATTGTTCATGGTAGTAATTCACTACGATTAATCATGATTATTCATAGTAGCTAATAATCACGATTAACAATGACTATTCACAGTACCAATTAATGACGATTAATCATGATTAACCTACGTACCTCAACATTCCTAAGTATGATATCAAAAAAAACTACTTCAACCACAGTGTAGGTATTTGTAGGTATTTGTTATGGCGTCACACGTGTTCAACGTCACTCTCTCACCTGTGATGTTCTGTAGGAAAATAAGTGGAATGTTCCTCTGGCAGCACAATTCAATGAAGTGCGTTCCCTGGAGAGAAACGGAACCGAGTAATTACAGCATGATTCTTTCTTTTAACACATCAAAGAAAGACAATGCACAGACATGTACTCTGAAGAATACACAACAAGAACTAGGGGAAGGTTTGACATTTTCAACTGAAACGTTTATAATAATCTTTTTTTTTTTTAAAAGAAAAAAGATGGAAATGTTGCCTTTTCTTGTGTTCTACGTTTCTTTCAAAATGTCTTTGGTAGAGAAAATGATTATGTAGACATAAATTGAGTAGTACTCCACTGCCTGTGCTTGTTTTTTTTTTTTTTTTTTTTTTTTTTACTTTTATTCTAAAATCATGGAGCCGTAAACCTTCCGACTCTGCCAAGAAAAATCTGCAGCACGGCACTGAGCTGCCAGCAGCTGTTGCACAGAGAAACAGGCACAAAAGAGTGCATACAGTGCGAAGTCACACTTCATTTGCATACGCCGTGTGCTGCCGACCTTCTCGGCTGTTATCTTAGCATTAACTCTAGCCTCTCCTTCGGAGGAGCGGCCCTGAGACGAAGCAAGGGGCTCAAGCTGCGGACGACGTGAGACCGAGGCCCGGCTGATAAATGGTTCATCGCTCCGCTTCTCCGTTTGCGCGTGACACCGAAAAGTAATCTTTGCTCCGTTACCTCCACGACACCGCGAACACCTGGAGAACCGATTTTAAACGTTTTACAGTCACTCCGGCAGAAGCCCCGGCGAGCGTTTGATAACGGCAGTGCATCTCAGAACCGCATTTCAAACCTCAGGCTTCGTATTGATTTCTGCTCCCACGGCTCATCTGTGTCTGTCTGCTGGACTGTGTCACCGTCTTTCAGCAGTAATTGCGCTGATGAGATAACCGGCGTTCGCACGCTCACATCCAAACCTCGCAGAAATTAATCTTTCTCGAACCTTTCTTATTTCAACCCAAGCTTGTAATCCAATTGAAGAATGTGTTTGAGAAACTTATTAGTGCGTAATCACACGTTCGGCTGCTCATCCTGACCGGGGCCGCGCTAAGTTCAGGTTGGTTTGCGCGAGATTGGCTTGTAAATTAAGCGCGTTGAATAAATGAGAATTATGATTGGGCCTTGTCCGTGGTCTCTGAACGCCATGTTATTACAGTGCCATTTATCAGCGCACTCCTGAGACGCCGCAGAGAAGTGCAATTTGAGAGCTCATTGTGTGGGATCAACTCATCGCCTCAACAGTGAAGGGTCAGCGTGAACCATCCGCTGACACTGTCGCCGCCTCCAGAGAGAAACACTTAGTATTCAGCCTCATAAACAAGAAAATCAGCAGAGAGAAGTCAATCTAAACCAATTTGGTATAAATATCAGGAGAAACACAGAAAAAAAAAAAAAAACTCTTTTGGTGTTCAGTCCAACGTCCTAGTTAACTATGATACGATTTTGATTTTTGTGATATGGAGATTTTTATCTTGTGTTTTTAATCAGTGTGTTTAAAAACACAATTCACCAAGGAGCAAAAAAGAAAAACTATTAAATCAAACCAATATTTTTTTTACTGTATTATTCCATTAAAATGAGGGAAAATTAATCCAAGTTTGATATAGTTGTGGCGTTTTTTAATATTATGTTAAATATTATTCAATATAAGTTTATTTATTTATTTATTATATTATATATATTATATTATACATTTATTTATTAAAAATGTTTTTTGTGATTCTTTAAAATAAACGACATTTTTTTAAGTCCAGTAAATTTAAATTAATTAGAATTTATGTTATATTGAATTTATGTATAAAATTTTAGAAGATAAAACAGAAAATATTTAGTTTTGTTTTTTTTTAAGGCTAATGACTTCTGTATCATTTCAGTATTCAGTATTTTCCGTTACCTTTTTGGCACTTTCTGAAAACAGGACTCCATTGTTGCCAATGATTCCGACAGGGTAACCAAATATTCTGGCAAATCCTGCAGACGTAAAAAAAAAGGAAAATCAAAATTAAAACAAATGCACAGAATAAAAATGGTCAAAACCAGAATCACTTTTTTCTTCACACACCTGTAACAAGCGTGTCACCGTAGAACGCCTTGAACTCGTCGAACCTGCTGCCGTCCACAACTCTGGCGATGACCTGAAATAAAAATGAGTGACCTTTGACCTCTATATATTATTAGCAGTAATTCCTGC